CAGATTCCGATTTCCGATACAACCGTCTCAAATGTCATGCCACGCAATCGAAGTGCGGGACCCACAAAAAATCAGCTGCCACGTAGGAGTGGGACCCGCTCGAGGAATCATAGGGTCCGACCCGCAAACGAATACGGTTTCTGAACCCCCACGTGAGCTGTTGTTAATTAAACTCTTTCTGGTAAGCTGTTTTGGCAGAGAAGATATTTTAATTTATTTATTCATTTATTTTATATTATTTTTACCTTTAACATTTATTATGCTTTTATATCAATGTTTGTACAAGACCAAATGACCAATAATAAGATCTCCACCATTATAAAATATTAAATAAAATCACGAGTCACCTATCATACCAAAATATATTAAAATAATGAATCTTATAAACTGAGCAAAATCGAGCTAAAATCGAAAAAGACAAGCCGAATCGTACAATTTTATTATAATTTATTTACCGTGAACTTTAAATTCAATTTTGGTCCAATTTTTCCATCACTATGGTATGGTTGGATTATTATTTTTATAAATTTGGTTTTCGTTTATTTTTTCGTTCATGTTTTTCATTTTGGATCGATTCAGACCAAATTAATTACAAAGGCATTAGAAAATTGTGGCAAATCGAGTCGAACTATGCATTTTGGTTCAGTTCTTTTAGTGTGGAAAGTTTTTTTTTTTTTTTTTTATTCATGTACCGCATCTCAATCTTTTTAGTTTATTTGACAAGTTTTTTTAGACTCGAAATGTTAACTAAGAAAAAAAAAAGAGAAACAATATGGAAGAGAAGATGGGGATTCAGATAGTAACGAAACAAGAACTGCAATTGAATCGAGTTGAGTCAAGCATTAGTCTTACCAGAAAATATTGTTTTTTTTTTTTTTTGTTTTTTGAAAATCTAGCTGTATTGAATTCCATGCCTTAAATATTCCAACTAATATACTAACTAGAAAAATATATACATTGACATGTCACATTAGGAATCTTCATAAACCACATAAGCAAATGGGTTTCTATATTACACTCTCATTTTAATTTTGTACTTATTTAGAAATTAAAATAAAAATATTTATCAAATATACCATGATGACAATATTCATGTATTATTGATTGGGAATTAAATCACCTTCATATTTTCCCTTTTTTTTTAATTATTATTATTATACAGTGAATACAAGAATGCTAAGGAGCCAATTATTGACTCCGAAGCCAACAACCAATATGACAGCTCCATGTGGGGCTGTCCCACATTGGAGCCATGTGGGACAGCCCACATGGAGTTGTCCTATTAGTTTTTGGTTCCGTAACGGAGCCAACAATTGACTTCTTAACATTATTGGAAGTGAATATATATGAGTGTGTGTGACCTTCAGATTATCTTTATCTTTTTTTTTATCATTAAATCACCTTCAGATTTTATCTTATTGAGAAATTCGATAATGATAGTCACAAATAAAGTCAAATTTGCCAAATCATGGACTGGTTGGAATATCATAGAATAATATTAATTGCATTTTTTTTTTTCAAAATTAATAATTAAATTCTGATGAGGCAGCTGAGCTGGCGTTACACATAGCCACGTAGGAATACGCTCTATTTATTTATTTCATTTAATATTAATTAATTAAACTACCTCGGAAAACATTCAAAATTCCCATTTAATTTATTAATTAATTAATGAAATCTGATTATTAATTTTCGCATAATAAATGTCGGGGAAAACAGCGGAGAAAAACAGTCCATAAATGAGCTACGTGGCCGCACGAGGGCCCGGAACATATTATTTTAATCTGGAAAATGACAGTTGTGCCATGCTGGCACCGGCTGATCTCGTCCGTCGGATGAGGATCAGATCCGACGGTGGACGCGGCGTTCGAGGGCGAGCGAGAAATCTACGCCGTCCACACCGGCTATGCAGTAGGTTTCGCGTGAGGGTTAATTAAAATATAAATAAAAAAGAATAAAAAGCTAAACAGATTATTATAGATGATAGTGTAGAGAAAAACAGAGCACACACACACAAGAGAGAGAGAGAGAGAGAGAGAGAGAGAGAGAGAGAGAGAGAGAGAGAGATTTTCAGCGACAGTCATTGCGAATCTCAGTGCACCTTTTTGCTGTTATTGGGATTTTCAACTGTTTTTCTGTTAATTTTTTATTTCTCTGTCTTGAAATGGTGGATAAAGCCGGAGGATTCATGTGATTTGAGCAGAGGATGGAGAGAAAAAGAGATTTGCTGAGTGCTGGTTCGGTCGCCGACGGAGGCCCGAGGAGGAGGCGAACAGTTGTCACTATCGGAGACTCAGCGAGTGATTATCTATCTGAATTCAGATCGTGATTTGTTTGGGTTAGTGTCTTTTTTCCGGTAGTTTCCGTTGATCGTTTTTTGGCCTTTTTTTGTTCGCAGACGAGGATCGGGAGATGGAATTGAAGGAGACGGTGAGGTTCAGAGATCGAGAGCAGGTGCGGAGGATGGGCCGGGATCGAGATATATCCAAGAGGAGGAGGATTGAGAACAGGGCTGCAGTGCCGCAGAAGAACGGCGGCGGCGGAGGAAGTTATAGAGAGGTCGTGAGCGTGGATTCGAGTGATGAAGAGTACTTTGAGGAGGTGGAGACGTGGAATTTTCAGCAGAATATGACTAATCAGCTATCTCCATCGCCTGACCGTGTGGGTTTCAGCACTCTCCGGTCGTCGCCGGTGCTCCGGGTCAACGTCGATGAGGTGTTAGGTGTGGCCGTACCCCGGCGAGCTCGCTCCGGTATGAAATTGTTGTTAGAATATTTGCTCTTATTTTTCCAATTTTCCTTTTTCTTTTTTTTTTTTTTTTTTGGTTTGTTAATTATCTTTCCCCCCTAATTTTTTATAACTTCAGCGAAGAAGTTTGATGAGTATCGAAATTCAGGCAGCGGCAGATTCATGGAGGATTTGACCGGCCGTATTTTTCCTCCTTCTCCGGCAGCGGCGACTCCCTTTAGTTCCGGCAGCCAGCCCACGTCATCTGGGGCCTCAATGATGAAGAAGATGGTTAGCTCTCGGTTTTTCATTTTTTTCTGGTTCAATTCTATTTTTTCCTCTTATATTATGCTGAATGAGCTCAAATTAGAAACCGTCTTCAACGATTCAAGACGCGATCGAAATCGAGGTGGCCGAAGCTCTGTTCGATCTGATGAAACAATCACATTATCAGTCACAGTCATCGGAAAGGCAAGAAAAAGTCGATAGAGATAGCACAGATGATAACAATGGTGATGATGGTAAGCTCATATGCTTCATTTTCCCAATGCTTTTTCTAATCTTGAAAAAAATGGGTTTCTCAATAAATGTGGATTTTGGTTGATTACAGATTCAGAGAGATTAAGAGCTGTTCGAGGTAAAGATGAGATTGACGTTATTAAAGATCAAAACATTCAATCCATTAAAGGAGGAGAAGGGATTGAGGAAGAGAATTTTGCAGATGAAGCAGCTCAAGATGGGTTTGTGGATAGAGAAAAAGTGGGGTCTCTTGGGGAGAGAGAATCGCCATCATGTGTTGCTAAAGTAAATGCTTGTGATATTCAGTATCCGACAGTGACAAAAGCGTGAGCATCCCAAATTTTTCAGTTCCCTTTTTTTTCTTTTTCTTCTTTTTACCTTTTTTTCCCCTCACTTTCTCTAAATTCTGTTGATATTAAAATTTTATTGTCATTTATACATTGTTACCCATTTGAATCCATTTTGAAAAGATTTCTAATAATATTTGTGGTGATGGGCCCAGGGATCACGGGGCGAGTGTGGTTGAGGTTGGGGTTAAGAAGGGCGACCGGATAGAGATTGATTTGATGGTGTGTGCACGATACAAATATTTCTTCGTCCACTCTGTGCCGACTGTGATTTATAATTGATTTGTTTTAGCGTAATTCTGAAAAATGGTTGTGCTATATATGCAGGCCCTTCCATCTTTACCATCGTCTCCAGAGAGAAATAGTGTGCTCGATATCGATTCTGGGGATGTCGAGGCATGCCGATCTTTTTTATTTGCGTTATTTGTTTGTGGGTTCTTTTTTCTTTGTTGGTCTGAGATTTTGTTTGCTGCTGATTCTTGTGCAGAAGAGTGAAACGAATCCCGACAGAGGGACCCAAATGGAGGAGGAAAAGATTGAAGTAATTATAGTTGATCAGTCACCAGACCTTAATGTGCAGAAGCAAAGGCTTGAAACCTCAAGTGCTAGCAAAAGCAATACACAGCTTCAGCAGAACCTGAAGGAGCCGAAAACTCAATGTAAATATGCATATCGAAATTCCTAATCTCAAAGTTGATCTTTATGAGATTTTTATTTTTTCATTCTAGCTAACTTTATATGTAATCTGCTGTTCTCTTCGCAGCTCCAACTTCTTTCGTGCCTTTCTCGATTAGTATAGGTAGCTGGCCTGGTGTTCTTCCTCATCCTGGGTGTGTTTATATTTTTTTTTCCTTTCGTCTTCTGTTTGATCTTTAAACGCACACTACGACAAGTTATTTCTTGTGTAGGTATGTGCTATCCCATCGAGAAGATTTACCAGTAGAAGGAAGTTCCAAGTCTTCAATCACAACGCAGGTAGGTTTTTTTTTTCATAAATATAATTCATTTGTTTCCGTTTTCTAATTTTCGATCCGTGTATGAATTTGGTGAAAATATGCAGGCCCCAGAGTTTAAATTTTCAAAGCCTCGACCCAAGAGAAGCGCAACACATAGATACATTGCCGAGAACATTCATTCTCACCAACAGCTTGTGCAGAAGTCTCTATCATCTGGTTCGACTAATGTGGGCACTACTTTGTATGGGACCCAATCATCAAACTTAAAGTCGATGTTACCTGCACAGAGGTTCGCCATTGGGAATCCACTAACGGGAGACTCTGTACGAGGCCAGACTTTGGCGGGTGAGACAAGTGTGAAATTTTTGCCTCAACAAGCTTCAAGTCAAGCTCAACTTCAAGCTCGTAACTTTTTGGTAAGGCGTATGGCTTTTCATATTCTAGTAATTGAAATTCAATCACTGATGTTAAAAAATTAGATAAATACCGAAACTACTCCTGAGGTATCGTGCGAAAGAGAAAAAGAGAACCATAGTTGTCTTTCCGAAAGGAAAAATGAAAAATACTTTTTTCTACCGAGTTACCAAACTGGGGCTTTTCTATAATTAAGCTAGAACTTGAGGTAAGATCTTGTAAGTTATACCGGGAGAAAAAAAAATATATTCAAAATCTTATGATTCGTAATCATGATGATTGCAGCACAACCCGGTTTTCACATTTCCACCCAACTCGTCCGGACCTTCTCATTTTGCTATGCCCTCGAATTCATCAACAAAGAAACCTCCTCCGGAGAACTCGTCCCATGCGGAGGCATCAAATGCAGGCACCTTTAATCGCACGTTTTTCCCTTTCAACGAAGCAATGATACAGAACAACAGCTGCCAGTTTCCTAATCTGCCGAACATAACTCTACCTTCTTTCAAAGGTGAATCCATTTTAAACTCATCCATTTATTCCCTGCCGGTTTTCAATATTCCCCCATATCAGCACCTCTTGTCCACCTTCAATACGAAAACCGTTGAAAATAGAACTTTGCAAATGGAGAAGAACAACAATGGTGCCTCTGCTAGTGATGGCTCAGCTTCTCAACATCCAAAGCCTAAAAAAAACAATAACAACAACAGTACCCAGATTTATCCATTTCCCATCCAACCAATGAGCTTCGGCCACATTGGTAACAAACAGCTAAATGCCGCTTCAGCTCCAGTGATTAGCTTCTCCACCATGCCGCAAAACTCCTCCATCGTCCAGATGCTTCCGGAACTTTCCTGGAACAGTGGTGGTAACAAGAACTACTTCCCTTTATCCGAGGAAAAATCTCGAAATGCAGTTTCTTCCTCATCATCGGCGACTACTACACCTTCTTCCAAATTTAAAAATTCGGGTAAAAATGCCGGTTTTCATCCGTCCCATTTAAGTCCCCTCCCAATTCCGAATTACTCGCCCTTGCTTCCGAAATGGGAGAACTTTCCTAGAACAGTGAAACTTCCGGAAGGCTCGTCTCAGTTTCCTGCACGAAACATTCCTCAGCCGAAAACCCCGCAAATTCAGGTTCAGGGTCATGTTGCCTACGGTAATAGTCCAGTTTTAGTTCAGGGGCAGCTTCCGAATTCTACGAACAATAAGACCAGCAGCAATCAAAGAGTCAGTACAGTGAAAAGCTGAAAGGAAATCAGGTGAGATAGGAATCATATTGAAGTTAGTTTTTTTCTTTTTTTTTTTTTTTTTTTTTTTTTTTTTT